TGTATCAATCTGCAACAGCTAAATCTTTTAGGCTCGACAGGTAATCTTTTAGTTTTTTTATATTTACTCCTTTGTGAGTTCATTCCACTATACCAAAGAAACCCTAATTAGTTCTTACATTTTGCTTGAAACAGGAAAGAAATTGCAAAACGAATGGAAGAAATCAGTGACCATTTATACGAAGCCAACCATACATGGATCAAATCCGTGAGGAGTCACCTAAGAGAAAGCTTGCTTGATCGATTAACAGAAGAATCAAAAGCATCAAAATCATTATCGTTTCTCTCATTCCCAGTCCCTGAATGTTCTTGTCTGAGATCCGAGTCAAAAGGAGCTTTCACTTCCCAACTTCCAGCTGCTATTAAGGTTGCACGTTCTTGTCCAGCTTGGATGGGTAAAGATGTAGTTTCACGTCCTGGAGACAAGGAAAACGAAGATGATCTTGATGAGGATGATTCTGGGCCTTTTGGTTTGTTTTTCCGGCAGAGTGGTGGTTCTAGTAACAGGAATAATGGAGGTGGTGGCGGCAGAGGTGGTGGAGAGATGATGAGCAGCAAAGAAGAGACTCAGATGGAAGATCAAGAAGAAATGGATGGTGGCGATAGATGACCTAACTGGGCGGTGATAGACGACGGAGTTAGGAGGTAGGAGGTAGGAATTAGGAGACCCCCTAAATCTAATCGTAGCCTAATTTAAGTTGTTTGTACAGTTGCAGTATATCATTGATGGTTAAAACTGGACAAGTTTTGAGAAAGTACAGTTTTGAGTTTTAATGTCAAAGCAGTTATTATCTTTCAACTTCCGATTTGATAATTGATATGATTTGTTTAAAATTTTAGAAAGATCAAATGTCTGCATTCATGATTCATCCTCAATAAATGGGAATGTGTTGGTGTGCTCAATTTGCAACAAATTCCATACCAATTAACTAAGGAGCCGAAGGTTTATCAACACCATCTTTACCCGGTTATCCACACCCTCTGTAATTGTATCCAAGTTAGAGGAAGGCGAAGATGATGGCCACTTTTAATCTTTTCGAGGTTGATATCAACCACTAATCTTCCTTCAACCTTTTAATTTTGTTAAATATACAAAATAAAACTAAACATTTATTTTATTGTATTTTATTTATTAAAACTACATTGTTGATCAATATCAGATGAAATATGGCGTGTTTAAAATAAATAAATTAGATGACGAGTCTTAATAAAAATATTTCAAATAGATAGTAATAAATTTGTAATTGTTAAAGTGAAGCTCTTGCATTAGAGATAATATTCAAAGATGGATCTATTTTAAAAATGGAGTTAGCGGAAATCTTATGTAACAAAAATAATAAGCTATGATAATGGTTTAACTCTTGTGGATATTTGTATTGTGAGAGAACAATATTTTTAGAGTTTTAAGGTTTTTGTATTTCTAAAGGAAACAAAAAGAAAGTTATTATACTTTTAAATTTTTATCTGAAAAAAGCATTGTTTTTTACGAAAAATAATTTATATTTATAAAGGTTTTAAGAGAACAATGATATTAAAAAAAACCAATAAAACAAAATTTTGACGTTAATATTAACCTTATTGACGTGACATTTATGTGATAAATATAGCAAAAATATGTATTAATTAGGTCTACTTTTTTCACAACCTCATTCTTATCATGGTTTCAAACACAAGATTTGGGATCTTGTGTTTATTTCTTTTTCTTTTTTTTTCTTTTTTTAATATCCTAGACCTTACAATACTTGATGCAAAAGAAAACAAACAATAGTAAATTACACGAATGATCCATATCGTTTAGAATAATTTGTGCATTTAGTCCCTAATTTATCTTTTTAACTTAAAAAATCCATAATATTAATTGCATGGAAATATATTAAGCTCAATAAAGCTCAAGCTGCTAGACGATTATATAAATATGAATAAAAATTAAAGGTAAAAATGTCAATATAATCAAGCTCAATTAAGCTCGTGAACTTTGTGGAATAAGTACTCAAATAGTTCGAGCTCAATCTTGACTCGTCTTGAAGTTAATAAGATTTCAATTTCGAGTTGATCTTGAGTATCTCATGAGATGTCTTGGTTTTATTAGACCCCCAATGTATCTGTAGAATCAAGAAGATGGACATCTTAGGCAAAAAAATTAAACCATTAAGAAAGTTTTATTGGTACTTCAATAATAAGGTAACTATTCAAATTGTTTGAATTTTAGAGTAAATATTATAACTTATGTAAGTTATATGGTTTATGTGTATGATGCAGCAAAGTATTTTTTTTAATAGATTAATCCTCCATTAGGAAATGTATATTACAAAAAAATGTATATTAAAAAAAAGACCTTTTTATGATTTAATAGTGTTGGTCACGTCCGTAATATTGGCCATGATTTTTCTTTGATTAGCTATAAGTTAAAAGTTGTAACGACCTTACGACTATAAAAAAACAGGCCTAACAAAAGCTTGTGCTCCAAACAAACAAAGAGCTGGTCAGAGGAAGAAGGTTGATGGATCAGTGAAAAAAAAAAGGAAAACCTAATTAAATACTCCAACGTTTGCTTAAATGTACATATACTGATCACATGGGGTATCACATTAATAAGTTTTATCCATGTAAACTTGAGAAAATACGAACCAAGTTCATCCGGTCAAAAAATTGTGTTCTTGGAAAAAATAAATAATGAATGGGTTTCTGTATAGACGAATAGCTAAATAAACATATATCTATTTGAATGAGTAAAAAAGATTTGTTAACAATTTAACAATTAATAAGTAAATTCTCATTTGGGGTGTTCCGGGGTGCTCATTTGGGATCTGATGATGTTATTATTTCTCACTTGTTTTATGCAGATGATGCTATTTTCTTAGGAGAGTGGGATGCGGCTAATATCCAGAATCTGATTCGTATTTTGCACTGCTTCTTTTTGGTGTCGGGCCTTAATCTTAATCTTAACAAATCTAAGCTATTTGTGTGGGAGTCAATTCGTTGGAGGTTGATAGCTTAGTTTCTTTTACTGGGTGTTCAGCTGGTGTTTTTCCTTTTATCTATCTTGGTATTCCGGTTGGAGAATCTATGACGCGTATTAAAGGATGACAAGTTATTATTGATCGTTTTAAGAAGCGGTTAGCTTCTTGGAAGGTGAAGCTGTTGTCCATTGGAAGCAGGTTGATATTCTTAAATTTGTTCTAGGGAGTTAGGGTATTCTTTTCCTCTCTATTTTTTGTCTTCCTGCTACTGTGTGTCGTCAGTTTGAGGTGTTAAGGGCTCGATTTTTTTGGGGTATGGAAGAAGGTGAGAATCGAATTCATTGGGTTAATTGGAATTCGATTTTAAACTCTCATGCGCAGGGAGGTCTAGGGGTTGGTAGTTTGTATGCTTTTAGCTTAGCTCTTCTTTATAAATGGAAGTGGCGTTTTCTTAATGAACCGAATGCTCTTTGGGTTAAAATTATTAAATTTTGTTATGAAGATGGTGGTGGTTTTTTGGATGGGTAGAGATTAGGTTATGGAGGAGGGGTTTGGAATAAAATTGTTGGCTCTATTAACCAACTTCATGAGAGGGGTATTATCCCTTTTAATTCTTTGCATAGGGCTGTTGGAGATGGGGTACATACTAGGTTTTGGAAGGATGCCTGGTGCTCAGATAGTCCTCTTATGTTAAGATTCGAAAGACTTTTTGCTTTGGCTACCAATCAAGATGCTCGGGTTAGTGAGTTTTGGTCTTCAGTAGGTTGGACATTCCATTGGAGGCGTGAGATTAGAGGAGGGGTTGAATCGACTCAATTTAATGATCTTGTGGAACTTCTGTCTCCTATTCGGTTAGGGGTTGGGATTTAGATTCTTCAGGTATTTTTTCTGTTAGTTCTACAAGGAATTGGGTTGATGTTATGAGACTACCTTTAGGTAGTTTTTCTACTAAATGGAACCGATTTGTTCCAATTAAAATAAATATTTTTCTGTGGCGAGTTATCTTGGATCGTATCCCGGTTAGAGTCAAATTGGTTGATAGGGGGGTGAAGTTAGATTCTTTGATGTGTCCGGTGTGTCATAATTCACAAGAAAGTGTAAATCATCTTTTTTTGTTTTGTTCGGATGCAGTCCAGGTTTGGAGACGGGTTGGTCATTGGTTAGATTTGGATATTCCGGAATTTACCTGTATTAGTGTCATGTTGGAGTAGATAGATGCCAGACCTATAGCTCGTATGGAACGAGTGATTGTTGAAGCGGTGTTTATGGTCGTTATATGGATGTTTTGGACGTATCGTAATGCTTTACTTTTTAATAGTTCTAAGCCTAGAAAAGATAAACTTTTTGACTCTATTGTAGAAATTTCTTTCGGTTGGTTTACTTCTAGGAATTCTAAGGCTCCGATTAGTTGGACGATGTGGATGCAAAACCCAATTCGGATGTAATTTGTTTTTTCCTCTAGCTTCTTGCTAGAGTGTTTTGGTTTTGATTATAAAATTTACTGCTGTTCTTAAAAAAAAGAATAAGTAATTTAAAAAAATGGTTAAAAATGACAGGGTCCGATAATAGGTTATAGGCCCGGTTACACTGGTAAGAATTGTATTGACAGGCCCTATTAAAAATTAAAATATTTAGGATTGGCCCGGTAGACATGTTATAAAGGGCTAAAGGCCAGCCAGGCCCGGGTTTTGCCCACCCTCCCAATTTTGAGACCTCAAAGATCCATCCAACAACTACCCAAAAAAGCCTGACATGAAGATTTCTAAAGGTCCCGAAGGATGAACAATAACAAGAAGAAGGAAACTTCCATGTATAAACTATTAAGACTAGATTTAACAAGTATACAACAGTTTTAAAAATGAAAATTCCTCTTAAATTTGTGTGTCCCCATCACATTCCATCCCAATAACTTCATCTCAGGCAGACCACAAATTACGCATATGCAGGTTGCAGCTACCATCCCAGAAGGATCTACCACTTCTTTTGGCACCTATAATGCCGCCTCTAGCAAATTTACCAAAATGCCCTTCTGGTTACATGCTCAGTAGATTGAAGCATCAAATCGCGGCTCATAGAAACAGACTTGACTGTTATATGACTGTAGAGCACATCCAGCAATCCAAGACCATACCTTTTTATCAACATCAAACAGCAAACCTTTCCCTTGATTCCACGATGTAAAACAGATGAGATTATCCTGTCCAAAACACTCAAATCTTTCTGCTGATAACCTCAACAGAGCTCTAAAGTATCTTGGTGGCATTCTGCTTATTTCAATCCAAATCACTTTTGCATGATCCAATTCCCAAATTCTCATGCTCTGAAGAGTACTATAAAGACCGATTCTTCCAACCAAAAACAAACGCTTCTGTGTCCCCGCAACCAAATACCCATCCAATAAAGATCTTGGAAACCTTGCTGGAATATGTTCCCAATACCCCGCATCCAACTGATACATCATCAACCCAAGAGGTGAAATTGTTTCCAAATATAACCTCGAGTCACAAAATGCCATCTTTGATGAACAAAGATTGACAGCTGGCATGGTTTGGTGAAGCGACCAACTGTCTGCCTTTGAATCGTATACTTCAGTTGGGAGTGATCTGTCACCATAGATATCACTAGCCGCTATGACTTTGAAAGAGCGTTTCTTTCTGTCAACCACCATAATTAACTGTCGTTGTTGGTTATAATGCATACTTGGTAGTGTTCTCCAGCTTTGTGTGAGGGGATTACAGATTAATGTTCTGAAAGTTAAGCCATCGAGACCTGAGAAACAGACAAGTCCTCCTGAAGATCCAACAAGCCAGAATGCCCATTGAGGTAAGAATGTGAAAGGGATTTTGTACCATTGTTTCAATGGCAAGCTGAAAACAGAGCATTGTGGTGTTTGTGAATTTTTCCAGAATGTGAGGAGGCAAGGGCCATGGGAGGGAACTTGGGAATGGAATTTGAGAAAACTGTTGTCTTGTAAGATTGAATTCCAACGTTTGCAAACGGAACGGAGTCGGAAGATCATGAAAGGTGGAACCCTAGCTAGTATTTCATTCAGTAAGTCTTCAGGTAGCATAGCCCATATGTTATCTTCCATATGAACATCTGGGTGTGGAGCTTTTGGGAATGTAGCAATCATTTCTTCATCTAGACCTCTGGGTTTTGTCTTAATCGCCTTCTGTCTAGATGGGCTAGTGTTCCTCAACCCTGGCCCCCGACCGATTGGGCTAGTATTTCTTGAACTACTTCCCCCAAAATAACTTAATTGCCTCCCCTCATCCTCTTCATGAGAAGAACCGGTTCTTGCGGATTCAGCAGGTGAATTTGTTGACCTAGAGTCAGAAGCGTCGCTGCTCCCTACGACCATCGTTTCAACAACCTAAAAACCCAAATCTATAATCAATGCTTCAACAGACTAAGAAACACACTCAAGAGTCACGACCCATGTTTTTTTTGTAATCAATAACCAACGAGAGGATCATTTGTACACAAAGATCTAACAAGCTGGTTTAACTCGATTGTGGATTCATGAAATTGAAGGTGGAAAACCCTAGATTTTTCTCAGATTCAAAATGGGATCCTTGTTTCCCAGTTAGGTAGGCGTATCAAAGTGAAGAGTAAATAAAAGGAAAACGAAGAGTTGGAACATTATTAATCAGAGGTTACCTTTGATGGTGAAATCGGTTAGGTGTTTTATTGAAGGGTTCATCGGATAACGGAGTTCCTTCACCGACTGGGAAGCCCTAGCATCCATTCTATATTTCTTTGGATTTTTCAGACAAAGGCTTCTGTAGCTTACATTCGCTTTTTGTCGCTAGTGGTATATACAATTCATGTAAGGCATTTTCTGACTACAATTCATCCCAGAAAATGTACTGTACAGCGACATCTTATCTTATCTTTATCTTATGAGGTAAATAACGAGATAAAACAAAGGGTTGAAATACTACCAGTAATTCTTATCTTTTTGTTTGGATATTTTTATATGAGAAAATAAAAAAATAATTTTCAATTTATTAATAATAAATTTTATAAATTCTCCCATCTAGTTTTCTTTTTCTTTTATAAATGTTGTTATTACTCTCTCGCTTAACATCTTATGCAACTTATGTATAACATCAACTTAATGATTTTTTTATGACAAAACTTCAAAAATGGTCCATGTGGTTTTCGAAAATATCAAATTTAATCTTTAAGTTCAAAAAACATCACAGATGGTCCCTGTGGTTTCAAAATTTTTAACAAATGGTCATTCCGTCTAATTCCGTCATCTTTCTACCGTTAAGTGAGGATCATTTTCGTCATTTCAATACATAGGGACCATTTATGAGGTTTTCTCTATTTAAAAAATATATATATATAATTATTTAATTAAAGGGCCCCACCCCCCTCTCTCTCTCCCTCCCTCCCCCCTCCTCTCTCTCTCTCTCTCTCTCTCTCTCTCTCTCTTTCTCGATGTGACGAAGAACACAAGTCATGAGTCCACGTGGTTTACACTCCTTACGTTCTTATGCTCCCTAGTCCTTTATCCTCCCACTCCTCACGTTATGAGTTTATTGAAGTCACAAGAATCACTATTTCCTCTGATTTCATCGTTTTATTCCTGATTTTCAAGTTCAAAGGGGAAGCCATAGATCTACAATTGGTGTTCTTCACATAGCAATCCAACAGCACCATGAAATAGACCTTTGATTTTCCTTGATAGGATGAGCCATCTCTTCTCCTTGATTTTCCATATCTACCCCTTCATTGAATTAATAGACCTGCTGTTGATAGGGTGAGCCATCTCTTCTCCTTGATTTTCCATATCTACCCCTTTGTGATCTCTCTCGCCTTCCATCTCTTCCAAATTTCTTTGAGGAAACTGTTTTGTCTATGTGTTTGTGGTTTGAAAACCAGAAGAGAACATTCCTTAATGAGGATTGATCACGTGAAACTTAGAGGAAGGAAACAACACTTTGAACATGAACAACACACACTGTGTCAAAACAAAGATGCAAATTCTACACTCTTAAAGAGAAGAAACCAATTTTAGGGGAGGAAACACTCCAGATGGTTAATTAAATGGGTATCGAAGGAAAGTAAGATTTGAGATGAGTATTAGTTGCGGTGACTAGAATTAGGAAGGACCGGTGATCGTAATCCATTAACATGTGTGCTTTGTGGCTTGATAAACGAAATTACCTGAAAACTTAACCTAAAGGGCTCTTGGATTTCCCCTGCCATTTACTGAGACCACTTCAAAGCATCATACACCTCTCGAATTGGAAAATATTCAAGAAAAACCCAAACACAAATCAACCAAAAAAACTGCATCACGTGACCAAATAGAGAGATTCAGCAACTTCAGAATACACATCATGTTTGTTTGTGTGTGTAGCGAAAGAAATAAATAATCACATGATGCAACACAGATTCGTAGAGATCACTTACCATCAGGAGGATGATCAATTGAAGGCAAGTATTTGTGTGCGTTTGTTGTTGAATCGGAATCGCTTCTTTGCTTTGAAGATGAATGTGTATAAGAGAGAGAGAGAGAGAGAGAGAGAGAGAGAAAGAGAGAGAGAGAGAGAGAGAGAGAGAGAGAGGGTGGGGCCCTTTAATTAAATAATTATATTTTTTCTTTTTTTTTTAAATAGAGAAAACCTCATAAATGGTCCTTGTGTATTGAAATGATGAAAATGCCCCTCACTTAACGGTAGAACGCTGACGGAGTTAGGCGGAAGGACCATTTGTTAAAAGTTTTGAAACCACATGGACCATCTCTGAGGGTTTTTGAACTTAGAGACTAAACTTGATATTTTTAGAAACCACAGGGATCATTTTTGAAGTTTTGTCTTTTTTATTTTTACTTTTATAATAACTGCCTAGTACTCGATCCAATGAGTTTGAAAAGTGTGAATAGGTTGCCACATCCTGCGATACATAGTAAGGCTTTGATTATAATTTCGAAGACAACTTAACTCATTTCATGATCATCAAAAAACGAAGAATTTCCACACAAGAAATTCGATTATACTTTCAAATATATAAAGGGCGTTGAAGAATAACAATGAAAGACTCATGACCATCTTGTTATTATAGACATATAGAGGCTCTTTGTGAAGTGATAAAAAATGAAATATGTTAAATATATTTAAAAAAAATGGAATTGGTCAAAAATATCAAAGAAAATGAATTTTTGAATTTAATGTTGACAAAAATGATTAAAACCTGTGAAATAAAATGATTGTCTTGAATATGACAATAGAATTATACAAAATTTTATTAATAATGAAAAATCATTGTATTTGTAACATCCCTACAAATTTGAATGATAATGATTGCATGTGAATTGTTATGTAAAAGGGAAATTTGGTAAAAAAAAGAAGAAGGTAAAAGTCATGAATTTTTAACTATCAAGTTTGTTAATACATTTTCACATGATAAAATGATATTTACAAATTGTTATTTGGTTATTTAAATATGGTTTTAGTCCTTTAGTAGTATAATGTGAATTACAAGGGTAAAGATGGAAGTTTGGCTAAGTACTAAGCTGAAGTACATACTACATGACACGTCATCTGGTGTCACAGAACCTATAGATGATGTTTGATGTCAAACAGTGAAGTATGTTGCTATAAAAAGAAAGGGTATCCTACTATGAGCTATTTGACACATAGTTAGCGTATTACACTTTCAAAGTGTGATGTTATATTGAAAAAGAGGCACAATGCATGTAACTTAATAAAGAACGTGATGCGTCCATACAAGTTACACGATGTGTATAGTACGACAAAATAAGATCCTTATTAGGGTTAAAATCGGTCTTTTTACCTCATTTCTCAACCCCAGTTCAATTGAGAGCCCTTGGAAATGAATTTGGGAGCTTTGAGCCAGGAGATTCATCAAGGATTTGCAAGAGGAACAAGAATCAAGCAAGTGGAAGTGAATTCATGTATTTTATTCCTTCCCTTTCTTAACTCCATGTGGATGGTGGGGTTGTATTAGAAATCTGTAAAAATGCCTTGAATATCTAGTGTAATGTTGTTACAAGCATTGTGATTATGATTTCAAGCTTTATATGTTAAATACATGGTTGAATAGTTAGATTGAGAAGTATGGTTATAAAACCCTAAGCAGTTGATTCTTTAGTTAATGGAAATTACGTTTATATCTTAATGAGTTAATACCTATATGTAATATCCGTGGAGGTTAATTGATTTAGAGACAGAACGTTGGAATGTGAAATTTGTGTGATCAAGTGAATTGGGGTTATGCCCTTTATGAATAAGTCATGTTATTAAGAACCTCGTATGTTGTTTGAATAGGATTTGAAAGAAGACTAGACAAAGGGCACCGAGTGAAGGATAAAATCCAAAATGATAGTTAATTTTCACTAAGTAACAAGGTGACTTTATGGAGCTTCTTAAACATGGATTCATGACTTACTGAATTAAGAATTATGTTTTATGATATAATTCATAAGAAGTTATGTGTAACATCCAGTTTCGAATCGTGTCCTAATTCGAGGTGGTGACCCGAAGATCGGATATCATAAGGCTTAGGGCCTTTGGAAAAGAGGGATTTAGACCCATTTGGGTGTGGGTAATGTAAGTTAGATGATCCGGGAGTCTAGTTGGTGATTTGGTTCCTAAGGGTATATCTGTAAACTGGCAGTTCAAGCTTTTATGAATCTTTGATTTTAGTTCGGGATGTTTTAAGTCAAGGATGAGTTGATAGAAGTATAAAGATTCTTGTTACCTTTCTATGGATATAAGGATCGTCGAAATCAGACTCGGAATGAAGAAGTTATGGCCTTCGGAAGTTGGTGGTTTAAAAGGCTAAGCCTTGTACGTAGGTCGTACAAGGGAGTACAATGGCTATAAGAGCTACGATTGCTAATCGGATCCTGAAGTCATACTTGCAAATTTAGTTATTAGACTTATCCAAGTGGGAGATTGTTGGATTAGTGTATAAGTCCATAACTATATTTGGTATGTGCTTGACCTGGTTGAGCATGGTCCTTTTGGGCTGCCTTCACCAAAGCAACTTGACAGGACGATTAATATAGAAAGAGGATATTATGGTTTATTAATATATTAAAGGAGAAATCATATTGATTAATTAATGTTAGTTAGTTAAATAATTAATTAAGAA